GGATTCAAGCCTGATGTATTATCGACCAAGAGAGGGGAGCATGAAAAAGGGCGAGATGTATTTCTCTAGTACTCAGTGCCTCATGGTGAAAATCCAAAGGTGCTACCCACTAAATCCCCATTTTTAGACAAGAACAAACCAAGAAATCTAGGGGCACTTTATATAATACAAAATAATTACTTTTCAAGCCCCTGCCGTTATGTAATGACGGAACAGCAAGGTTAACAAGGGAATGCTGTACAGGGGTTTTTCTTAGAAACCTGATCTTTTTGGTTATGCATGAGACCCTTTCAAGAAGCACTGGCAATTCCCAACAGAGTAATTAAGGAAGTGTGGAGGCAGATTGTTGATACAACTGTTGTTTTGGAGACTGTAGCAAAGCACATTGTCAATAGCATTAGCAGCATTATTTAAAGAACACGTTGGTTGTAATAAGCATTGCATATTTTTATTTACTCTAATATAGGCCTTTTGCAGCATTCCCTGATATTAATGCTGTGGGTAGAACCAGAGGCTTTATACAAGGTTTTTCTATTCCTTGCTATTTTCTCCTGCCCTACAGGCTTTCGCTGTTGAACTAGAGACTGAAATTGCCCCAGAAGAGAAGAGATCCAGCCTAGATCAAAGAAACCATTGGTGAAGTTCTAAATTCACTCCCACACCCCATTGCAGAAGTGAGCAGGAGGGTGGGCTCCTCCACACAGAAGAGATGTCAGAGACACTGTGGTAGCAGAACGACGACCCCACAAGGATGCTCAAGTTCTAACCCCTGGAACCTGTATATGTTGTCTTTTTGACAAAACGGAAGATGGCGAAGTGATTAAAGAGAGATTATTGGGGCCTGCACTGTGGTGTAGCAGGTAAAGCTGCTGCCTGTGGTGCCGGCATCCCATAAGGGCACTGGTTCGAGTCCCCACTGCTCCACTTCTGATCCAGCTCTCTGCTATGGCCTGGGAAATCAGTAGAAAATGGCTCAAGTCCTTGGGCCCCTGCACACATGTGGGATACCCAGGAGAAGCTTCCGGCTCCTGGCTTTGGCCTGGGCCAGCTCTGGTTGTTGCGGCCACTTGTGGAGTGAACCATCAGATGGAAGATCTCTTTCTCTCTCTTTCTCTGCCTCTGTAACTAAGCCTTTCAAATAAATAAACAAAACTTTAAAAAGAGAAAGAGATTATCCCTGGTTACTGGGTGAGCCCATGTAATCCCAAGGGTTCTTACAAGGAGAAATGGGAGGCAGGTGAGCTGGAGGCAGAGTGATGTAGGTGAGAAAGACTCCATTGGTCATTACTGGCTTTGTAGATGGAAGGGACCATGAGTCAAAGAATGTGGGCAGTCTCCAGACGCTGGGCAAGGTGGGGAAATGGATTCTTCCAGAGAGTCTACAGAAGGAATGCAGCCCTGCTGATATCTTGATTTTATTTCAAAAAATTTATTTTCATTTTATTTGAAAGGCAGAGAAACAAAAAGAAAGAGTAAGAGAGGAGGGATAGAGAGTTCTTTCATCTGTTGATTCACTCCTCAGATGCCTGCCATGGTCAGGGCTAGACCAGGCTGAAGCCAGGAGCCAGGAACTCAATCCAGGTCTCCCACATGGGTGGTAGAGACTCAAATACTTCCTGCTTCCAAGGGTGTGCATTTGTAGGAAGCTGGAGCAGATAAGGAGACAGAGCTTGAACCAGGCAGTCTGATACGGAATGTGGTGTCCCAAGTGTTTTAACCACTGAGTCAAACGTTCACTCCCTTCATCTTGATTTTAGCTCTAACCCATTTCATTCTCCTAACCTCCAGAATTGTATAAATTTGTGTTCTTTCAAGTCACCAAAGTTTTGGTAATTTATTACAGCAGTTAATAAGAAATTAATTGGAAACTCAAACTTTTGTATTTATTTCACTTTGATATGCTTTGCTTGTGGATGTCCAATTACAAGTCATTTCAGATTATATGATCTAGTTTTCTCTGAAGTACACTTCATAAATGGACAGATGGCTTTAAAAAATTAAGGATAATGTGAGCAGAGGGGCAAATAAAATAATAGAAAAGGTGACTTGTTTTGGTACAGCTTTCCATTCATTATTCTGTAGATTAAACATGATGGTGATCTTACCAGATCTCATGAGAAATTGGCTCCCAAATTTAAGGTGATCAAAAATTACATACATCTTTAAGATGAGAACTGAGCTCTAAATAGATGAAATTGTATTAATTAATTACATGAAATCACCACAGCGGAAAAGTACCCCTATAAATACCCAAAATAATGAAGATATAGGTAAGAATAGTTTAAAAAAGGACTCATGGAAGTGCATGTAGATAATACTTTTCTAGAAAAATCTGAGAACTCAATGTCCAGACCATATGTAAATAAGCTACAAAGTGAAGTATGTGTATAGGTTATAAAACAGGCCAAAGGCAGCAAATGAGCAACCTGTGACAGAAAAGGAGATTCTCACCAACAGGAACTCTGCAGTAATAACAATGAGTACAATGATCCCAAACCTCAGAGACTGAGTAGAAGTTTAGTTCCATGGGATGGGAGTTTGGCTCAGTATTTAAGACACTCCTGGGTTGCCCCCTTCTCAAATTGGGGTGCCTGAGTTCAAATCTCAGTTCTGCTTTCAATTCTTGCTTCCCACTAATGTGTACCCTGGGATGCAGTGGTGATGGCTCCATATGTCACACATATGGGAGACCTGGACTGAGTTCCTGGCTATGGCATCAGCCTGGCCAAGCCCCAGTTGTTGTGGGTATTTGGGGAATTAATTTGAAGATGGAATATACCTCTCTCTTTCAAATAAAAAAAAAGTAAATGGAAAAAGTTTACTCACTGTATAAGACAACTGTTTTCCATCAAAAATGTCTAGTTAATTGGTATCAAATCTAGTTTTCTGATTTAAATGAAAAAAAAAATCAGTGTGATCTAAATCAACAACAGATTTGAGATGCAAAATGGAAATCCAGTGTCAAAAAGGACAGCAGAGGAAGGGGTTGTGTACAGACATGGCATGGATACAATTCTTGGCACAGGCAGGTCATCTAAGGGCAGTATCAACAGAACAGTGGAAAGTAACAAAAAATAAAAACCCTGAAACACCTGTTCATGTAAGACTATGGCAAGGTCTCAGAATAAATTTTAGAATGTTATTGTTGATAACATTTGCCTTTCTATCATCAATTTCAGGTATCATATTCTAGATATAAAAAAAGACAAAACAAAAACAAGAACCACAAATTGATCATTCATAAAGATGACCAACAGGCTGAGGAAAGGGTTAAGGGATGGACCTGGAGACATCTGGCAATGCTTGCGGCCCTCCTGCTTCCCCTGTAGATTCTTGACATGTCTGCAGGAACCTCACGGATGGTCTGCGAGACGTGGCCTCTTTCATCTAGCTTCCTTTCTGGTCTCCAGAACTCTCCAAGGCCCTGTACTGTTGACTCCACTGCAGGGATGTGTTAATAGGAAACAGACTTGATACTAGCAATGCTGTCATTCAGAATCTTGGGCTTAGCTCACTCCCACTCAGCCCACCTTTGGCTGGCCTCCACTTTGCCCTGGTTTCATGTGTTTCCTGGTTTAAAGACTTTTGAGTTTCTCTCAGGGTGCTCTGTCTCCTGCACGATGTTTTCACAAATAACAGCACTGAACAAATCTTTACAAATTAAAATCCAATCTTTGGAGAACATTCTTTGTGTTAGTTTCTGGCATTATTTGTAAAGAAAGAGCTGTGGTTGCTAGATGAATTTAAATCCTTGTTCAGGATTTATCTCCTTGTTCAGGTTAAAATCAAACTACTCCCAAATATCAGACTGTCACTGATAGCCTCAAACAACAAACCTTTTCATCAGTTACATAAAAAACTTAGAAACCAGCCTCCAAATGAGTTCTCTCCATTTGACCATTAATGGGCTTCAGTAATGTAATTCTAGATTTTTCCATCACCAGGTCAGGTTGCCCTCATTTTGGTGACATTCTGAATGTCTAAAAAATAATCTCTGTCCTTGTGTGTATCAGACAACATGTATCATGTATCCTCCTTTAGCAAGCCTATCTTTTTCTTCCTCTAAACATCATCATTAACAGAAGGTCATCAGGCATTTCAGTGGGAAGCTGATTCACGTTGAGAACACAGGTGATGGATACAAAGACGTATTTTCACGTGTCCAGGTCTAGGACTCACAGAAATAGACCCAAGCCAATGTAGCATAATTGTGATTCCATTATTTTCCAAATTTTATGCCTTGTAAGATCTGACCTAAGAAGTATAACAGTATGTCTTAGAAGGAAAACAAAATATTGTCTGCTTAAGGCAATTTGAAAAATTATGGATTAATTAGAATGAAAGACATTTTTAATGGTAGGGTTTTTAAAGAGTCTTCAATATGGCAAAAAGCATTATGACTTCATAAGAGGTTTACGACATGTAACTAGGGTGAGATTTACCTTTTTTGCTTTTAATTATTTTTTATAGAAAATTTCATGGAATCTGGGAACAATATTTGAGAAACACTGAAAAACCTTTCCCTCCCTTCCCACTTTTTTTTGGGGTGTGAAATTGTTAAATGTTGTTGAAAATTCCTAAATTCTAAGATTATAGTGGTATTCTGAGGGCTAGGTCATGATTTGGGTGAACAATACCAAGGAAGGAGATGTTTACCTTGGCTTTGGTGTAGCTCTTAGGGAAAACCTTTGGAGATTCAAGGTAACTTGGGCCTCTGGTTGACTCTGCAGCATCACTACCTTGGGATGAACTGGAACTGCCTGCTAGTCCAACAAAGCAATCCCAGTGCTTGGAGGCAGGGTGAGCTGATACAGACACATTTAGAGAAGAACTGCGTGGGAATGAGTAAAAGCAGTGTTGTGTTTTCTGCTTTCCCATTTCTTCCTCCAGGATTTCGTCAAAAGGATATTTGCTAATTATATCTATTCCTTTCTGGTTTTCATATTTTCCTCTGCAAGCTTCCACATTCATAATTTATCTATTTATTTTACTATTCACAGAGACCAAGACTATGGTTCAGAGATGCTCAGGAAAGGTGGCTTCTCATCATCGGTGGAAGAAGCAAACACGAGTTTGGAAAATGATCCAATGTGGTCCACACAGAGCAGGAATAGGGATAGCACCAAGGCATACGTGAGGTCAGTTCAGGGACACTCAAGAGCACCCAACTACAGATCATTCCTAAAGTGAGGAACCTCTCTTTGTCCTCTGGTCAGATGTTTTCCATGGTTGATAAGCAAACTGCTTCTTGGCTAAGACCAAGAGCACAGTTGACAGGTTAATCTGGAAAAACATGAATAGGATGCACATAAATGACTCAGAAAGATCAAATTAACATGTCTAAGACTCCTAGCAAGTAAGCTTTAAAAAACGTCTTTAAATGTATTGGAGTGTGTATACATTTACTATTGTAGTAATATGAATATTTTTAGAAAGGGTTGTGGAATTAGTTTGCTTAATATTTCACATACAGAAGGATAAGCAGAAAACAACATAACGTGGTCCACATTTTTCACCATTCTTGTTCAAGAGATTGTTTTGTTTTGTTTTTCAGTTCATTGTATAAGGAACTATCCTTAGGAGAACTCTGAAAAATTTGCTAATTCTTTTAACATATCGTCAAAACAAAACCTAGGGAAACAAATTCCTGGCCGCTCGCAAGCTGCCTCTGGTAATGTAATTCAGCTCAAGATCAAAGGTTAAGTGCCTCTTACCGAAGGAGAGAAGCAATCATTTCCATTATGTGAAATTTTGGAGTGTTTTTATTGTTAATAAAAATGAAATGGACTCTCCTTGCCACCTACAAACCACTAATAGTTGTGTATGTGCATCCAAAACACATTATAAGAGTCAATTATAAAGTTCTCATGGCCTTCAGAGTTCAAATACAATTTTTTTCATTTTAATTAGTAGTTTATTCTTTTACCAGGCATCAGAGTATCTGCAGCAATGTACAACATGGTCCATCCTTGCTCCCAATTTATAGTGGAATAGGGAGGGACTGGCTCTTCAAGGTCGCTCAATGTCTTTTCTCATTTGTTTACATTGGCAGCGGCTCAGGTCCTGTGAAGTCAGACCTATTTCTACAAGTGCAGGCCAAATGGTCAGGTCCAGCTGAGCTCTGCATATGGTGGCTGTTTGCTAACAACTCAGCACTTTAAAGTTTCAAATCACTCTCCTGTTACTAAGTTCTCATTACTGTGGGGAGATGGGAATTATCCCTGAAGGACTGTCATCAACTCACCTCATTTCTTAACTTCTCTCCTTCTCCATTAGAAAATCAAGCAGCTGTGTCCCTGGAAATCCCACCGAATTCCTCTCGTGCTGCAGAACTAGTGAATGAGGTGGGCCTGCTGGCAATTCAGAGCTGGGCCCTCCATTGCTAATTCTGGACTTGGCCGGTCAAAACCATACTCATGTTGATGAAAACCACATGGCCTGACAAGCACCTGGAATCAGTATGGAAGCTCTTCAACTCTGTTTAAGGCATTCTGGGTTTCTCAGTATAAAAGCCATGATACTTCTTTGCAGGGTCAATGTCATGGAGCACACATGAGGCAAGTTATGTTTTCCAACACTTTCTCTTTCCCATATATGCTAACTAATCTGCATGGAGAAGAAATGTAAAATATTTAGATACTGGGCATGGGCAGAAACTTGCTAGGAAACTGATTTTAATGTGCAGGCAATCATTGCAGAGATGTATGTCAGTCAGATGTGTAGTGTAGCTTCTTGCTGAACATGATTAGATAAAGAGGAATGGACAACTCAGATACCCCAGGGTAACTGACTCATCACAACTTGATATATAATTACACTCAGGGCCATGAATCCCTGTGATTTCATAGCTGAAGTCAGAGTGTCCCAATGACTTTAAAATGGAAGTATCTTCCTCCACTGAAAACATGTTTATTGAAAAGGACAGAGGGAAATAAGTGTTGGTGAGGAGGCTGCTAGGGGGCACATTTTGTCTCGGCATCTCAGGGTCATGGGCAGCATCCACAATTGTACTGACAGCCTCAGCTGCCAGCATTAGCTGATGATGGCATTTTAAGGGTATGAATTCTGTGGTCTCATCAGAGGAGCAAGACAGCATGCAAACTGAGAAGGAAAAAGCCAGCTGTCCTCACCCACGTGGGCTACATGCGAGACACACAGAGACAGAAACTTCTTAAAGAATAATGATTTCTGGGCCAGCGTTGTGGCATAGTGGGTAAAGCTGCCACCTACAGTGCCAGCAACCCATGTGGCACTGGTTTGAGCCCCCGCTACTCCACTTTTGATCCAGCTCCCTGCTAATGGCCTTGGAAAGCAGTGGAGAATGGTCCATGAGATTCGGACATTTTACCTGGAATAAGTCCCTGGTTCCTGGCCATCTGGGGGATGAACTAGTGGATGGAAGATATCTCTCTCTCTCTCTCTCTCTCTCTCTCTCTCTCCTTCCCCCTCTCTTTAAATGCTGCCTTTCAAAAAAATAAATAAATAAATCTTGAAAAAAAGAAGCAAGGATTTCAAATTCCTTTAGGGTACAACTTTTTTAAAAACAAGATTTATTTAGAGTTGGAGTGACAGAAAGGAGAGATACAGAGAAAAATACAGACAGAAATATATTTTTAGAGAGATTTTCCATTCATTGGTTCACAACCCAAATGACTGCAACAACCAAGTCTGGGCCAGGTTAGGGCCAGGAGCCAGACACAGGAAACCCCGCCTGGTCTCCCACATTGGTGGAAGGAGCCCAAAAACTTCGGCCATGATCCACTGCCTTCCCAGACACATTAACAGAGAGTTGGATCAGAAGCAGAGCAGCTGGCACTTGAACCGGCACCCACGTGGGATGCCAGTCTTGCCAGCAGTGGCTTAATCTGCTGTGCCACAACACCAGCCTTGGATACACAGTTCTTTCAAGTGACCGTTTAACATTTCTAATGTATGCCAGGTCTCAGGTAATGGTGAGATATCTATGCCTGTGTTATTCTCTATATGTGAGTATCCTAAAACTGTCTTGAAATTTAAAATTCCAAGATTGTTGGATTGTTTGTGCTTCACAGATGTGGACAAGATTGGAAAAGGTTACTCCAGAAGTCAAAACTAGGGGATCACAAATTGTCACCTGCTCGGCAACAGAGAAGTTCCCAAGAGGGGCAACAGCTGACACCCAGAGTAGAGCCTGGCAGGCCCACGGACTTCCTGTGCAGAGGTGCTCCAGGCTCCTGGACTTCCCAGACCCTACGCTGGGTTCAAGGAACAGTGGAGTAAGCCAGTGACATACATGGGATCCCATATGCATCATATGAGAAGCGAGGGGTTACAGTGAGACAGCTGGCGGCTTGGCAAATTACACAGTAAAGCTCCAAGGGCAGACAGAAGGCTCAGATCTGGAAGGAAACACTTGGGGACTAGGGGTAAGTAACAACTGAAAAGTCAGAGAGGCCCATTGGCAAGGCCCCTACCCCAGGGTTGAGGGGAAGGACAAGCAGGAGAAAGGTAGGACCCCACTCCTGCAGCTCATCCCTCAGTACTGAGAGAGAGTAAGAAGACAGAGAACAGAAACCCGAGTCCCAGAAAGCACTGCAGGAGGGGAACTATGTTTTAGAAATAGGCAGGAAGCTTACTTGTCAGGACCAAGGGAAGCCAGGATCGCTGGGGGGTCCTCCTTCCTAGGAGCATCAACCCAGAGCTGCTGATGGTGTGAGCTTGATGCTGCTGGCTGTTCATTCAGCCATTCAGGGAAAAGAAGGGGTTCGGAGGGAGGACAGCACTCAGCAGGCATTGGAAGGCCCGCATTTCGGATTCCAGGGTCTTTGAAATGGTGTGGAAGCTGTGACTCAGGATCAGCAGAAATAGGTGGTCCCTGGAACGGCACTTTGGAGCTCTCCCAACAAGCCTTAGAGCTCCTGTTGGCTGGGAGACTCCCGTTCACCTGCTCTGACTTTGATCACATTTCCAGTTGTATGTGGATAGATTGGAGAAAATGATATGAATGGCGGGAACATGAGAAGCATCATAAAGAAATATTACAAGCAGAAATCGGTGGGACCAGCAGCAAACTAGATGTATGCAGAACACATCCGGCAGAATTTCAGTGCCAAAGGCGGCACGGGTCTCTGATGAAGAAACAGGAGTGTGAGGACCATGGTGTGTGCAGGGGGGAGCACGTGGCTGTCGGTCTCTTGTTTCCCTTTAGAAGATGGAGGGAGCTTTCAAAGTTCACCGGATGCGGAAACATCGTGGGAACCACCCTGGGGCGGCGATTTCGGTGGCTGGTCATTCTTTCCCCCATCAACACATCTCAGCGGCCACCAGAGGGAGACATTGCTCACAAGCTTCAGGCAGCGACAATTCCCCTGCGGATTACTGTGCCCTATATTACCGAATTCCTCCCCAAAGTTCCCCTTCTCAAGCCGGGCTCCCGTCTCGATAACTCCCAGAGCACCGGGCACGGCTATATCTAAGCAATTATGCCATTGGGAACTTTAAAACTGCTCTGTAAAACCATAAGCGCCCAGGAACAGATGCTTTTAGAAATGTAAAAACAAGACCGCGGTGACAAGGGATAGGAGGATCTCAGCTGAGTCGGCTCCCTGCATTTCTCCGCATGTTTTTTTTTTTTTTTTTGAGCAGGAAGCTCTGCACAGCCCCTCAGGGAAGGCTGTGATCTGCCTACCATGCACCCTAGAGGTTGCCAGCCTTGGCTTTGCCTGGATATCAGGCCCCCCTGGAGAGGGGGTGGAGTGGAAATTCTGTTTCCTACATTAAAAACACACACACACACACACACACACACACACACACAAACAAAAAAACCTCGTGACTGAGAAATGATTATTTGAAAGGCCTACTTCTAGATATTCTTTTAAACCATCTCTACACAACTGGGAATTCATGCATCTACTTCCCCTCTACTTCCCACATTTCAAACTGAGTGGCTCAGTGGGCCATAGGCATCTTGCTGGGAGGGGAGTATTTGAAAGTTGGGCTGTATCTGTTTGTTACAAAGATGATGTCACAGAGACCATCTGTAATGAGTGTAACCAGAGGAAAGGAGAGCACCTCTAGGATTTGTTGATATTAGTATTTAATATCTGTCCTTTGGGTATGTTGAATAGCAGGCTCATGTAAAGAGAAAGGACATGAATTCACCCAAAAACAAACACGGGAAAGTCAACATTTATAACGTTCTATTTTGAGATTCTAGGATTAAGCTAGTAAAGCAGAAATGTGTGGATCTCTAAGGAATTATTCTTGCAGTTCTGCTCACAAAACATGGAGTGGAATACTTTGAATACGAATGAGAAATCCAGGGTTTTTGTTTTATTAGAACACACATATAATTTGGTAGGGTTACTTTAATTTTTGGAGCCAAACAGATTTTGTTGGCTGATGACTTCAGCAAGCAGTCTGCAAGGTCATGAGAGGAACTGAAAATAAATGAAAGGATTATCTCAGTTTATCTTGGAGGAAGACATTTTTTCAACTTGTCAGATGACTTACTTGTCGGGAAACTTCAGGGCGTTAAAATGTGGTTTTGCTTCTGTGTATACCTCCTTGCCAACCAGTATTGTATTTGTATGTGTATTGTACAACGTGTGTGTTGAGTGACTTGTATTTGTCTCTTTAAAACATGCTGCAAAACATGAGCTCAATGTCTCACACTTCCTTAGTCACACTATAAATCCATATAAGTGGCTCCTCCATTGGCAAGGGTCCTAGACTTACAGCTTTGCACTCAAAATGCCATTTAAAGAGGGCGACCATTTGCTCAGCGGAATTATTAGTGATGCCTTTGTGATACTCTCAAGAGTGACCCAGGTTGGGTGATAGATCCAATGGCCACTCTGCACCAGGCCCTGTGGACGCAGGGCTGAGACATTCTGTCCTAGCTCAGAAACAGCACTGATGTGCTGAATGGGCAATAGGCTGCCCCTCTTCCCTTCCGTCTCTCGGGAAAGCTCACGTACTAAGTTTGAGGCAGAAGATGAAGAGGCTGGAAAATAGAATCAAAGTTCTTACTCAAGGTGCATGTGGGCCTGAGACTGTAATGGGGCTCTAAAGGTGGAAGTGTGGATTCTGAGCTTGAGCAGGTTGAAAATAGAGCCCAGTGAAGGCTCCCAGGGGTGAGACTCAGAAGTGATGTCAGCAATTATTTACGTGACGCTGTGATCTGGACACAGAGAGAAACCAAAGAGGTGATGGGAGGAAGTAACACAGATCACCAAGCTGGGCCTCTGGTCACAGAGGCACCAGTGTGTTGGCTCACAGGTCCAAGTAAGCAAGAAACGTAATCACGAAGCACTCTGGCAACACGATAGTCCCCATTTAGCCACGTGTGGGCTTTCTGTGGTTTCTGTTACTGGCAGTCATGCAAGAGCTGGGCATATTAAGTGGAAAGTTCCAGAAATAAATAATTCCCAAGTTTCAAATAAGTTTTATTGCAGTATATTGTTATAATTGTTCTATTTTATTGTTAGTTACTGTTGTTAATATCTTTCTTTGCCTAATTTATAAGTTAAACTTTATCTTGGGTATGCATGTATGGGAGAAAACAGTATAAATAGAGCTCAATGCTATCCAGTTTCAGGCTTTCATTGTGGGGGCACTGCTGTGTGCCCTGCTAGAAACCAAGATCCCTCAATTGAGACTTGGTGGAGAAATATTCCCAAGAGGATATCAACTGTTGGTGCCACTGAGTTTTGGGAACTGAGGACTGGTAGGGAATTCAAGGCAGGAACTGAGTTTAGCAAGGGTGAACTGAATGCTACCACAGCATCATGGGTGAATTGTGGGCTAGGTGGTAATAAGTGGAGAAAACAGGTTGTTAACACCTTGGTTCATTAGTAGTCAAGATCCAGAATTAGCTTATGTTGCTTACCTTACTCAGTCTACTTGGATATAGTTTATATCTTACTATTTCGTGACTCTGCTAGTACAACTATGTGTCAGTCTCAGAACAATGAGGAGAAAGTGTGCTACGATCATCTCCACCTTTGGAAGAGCTCTTCCTCCAGAGGCGTGGGTTTTTTTTTTTTTTTTTTTTTTTTTTTTTTTTTTTTTTTTTTTAATTACAGGCAGAGTTAGTGTGAGAAAGAGAGAGAAAGGTTTTCTTTCCATTGGTTCACTCCCCAAATGGCCATATGACCGGCACGCTGCACCGATCCAAAGCCAGAAGCCAGGTGCCTCCTTCTGGTCTCCCATGCAGGTGCAGGGCCCAAGCACTTGGGCCATTCTCCACTGCACTCCCGGGCCACAGCAGAGCTGGACTAGAAGAGGGGCAACCATGACAGAATCCGGCGCCCCAACCAGGACTAGAACCTGGGGTGCCGGCGCCATAGGCGGAGGATTAGCCAAGTGAGCCACGGCGCCGACCCCTCCAGAGGCTTTTGATGGCGGCAGAAGGAAATGGATCTGGTATTACCTGGTGCCTGTCTTTGACAATGCACCTGTAACGATGCCCTGTGGTCCCGCAAGGACTTGACTTGTCAGCTCTCCTGCATTTCCAGAAGGTAGGAGCATGTTCCCTAAGAAGGTAAGGACTTTGTCTATCTGATTGTATAGGGCTCTTTGGAGCTCTTCAGTCACTCAGGCAGGCAGGCAGATGAACAATTTCCTTCTAAAGAATTGATGCTGGGCCATTGTGTGACTTGGGTCTTAGTGGCCAAGGATCCCCATAGAGTGAATCTCTTCTTAGCTAGTGCTGCAACCATTTTTGAAGTTCAGAATGACATTGTTCCTTCTGTGAGAATATGGCAGAAACTTTACACAACACATTCTGTGCTTCCTGTCTGGGGGAGAACAGAGATCTGACTGTTGTTAACAAAGTCTTTATTATTAGCCCAAGTTGAAGGTTATGTGGGGTGCTTCTCAGTCATTCTGCCTGGGAAGCATCAGGGGAGAGCGAGTCATGGTTTGCCACCCTAAGCCCAGGACTCCAGGACCCAGGAAGGCTCCTGCAAGGGACAACACAAGTGTCCCTTTCCTGCCTCCCCTTCTTCTCCTATAAGCACCTTCAGGAAAGGCCGAGGGCAAGGACAGTTGTTCAGGATGGGCATCTGGACTTCAGTGGCTTTTAATTTTGCTGCCTGCTCAACAGCATAAGTGAGCAAATGTTTGGAAATGAAACTAAGGGCTAGAAAAGGACCTGAATTATCTTTTCCATGGAGAAGCAAAATCTCCAAGTGTATACCTGACAGTACCTGGAAAAAAAAGAGGATCCAGCCTGGATAGAGCGCTGTAAAGTTTTTCTCTTGAGTTTTCATCTGGGGAAGGGAGAGAAGAAGGAGTACCTGCCAGGTTTCTCACCTCTTCAGCCTCTCTCTGTCTTTGGGATGCTTTGAACTTCTTGTCTGAGTCCACTCTCCAAAGTGAATGGAACAAAGAAATTTTGCAAAGTCTATTTCTTTAGTGATTTATTTGACAAATATCTATTAGTCTCTCACTGTATACCAGACACTGGGTATATGATGATGGAAAAAGCAGACACAGTGCTCATATGAATAAATGTTTGAAAAAGATGGTAAGTACTATAAGGAAAATCACACACTGGTAAGTGCAAATTTAAGTCCCAAACCTAAATAGGAGTAGAATACTGCAGTGTAATTTCTAACACACACTTCGACTTCCTACATGCCTTGCTTCCCTCTCTACCGGGCCAATCAGTCTCTGACTATTTACCAATTACAGCTCCTCTAGGAGTCCGCATAACACCCTGAAGGATGTATTTTAAGAATTCTTCTCTGTACACTGATAAATCAAACAACACTATTAAGCCAGCTCCTTTGATCTGATAAATTCCATTTGAACCTAAGCTGAACCTGTTAGCACTTCTGAGCGGGAGTTGAGTTCCAACAAGATGCCAGTGGAGTTGAAAGTAATCACACATGTCAATTGTATACAATCCTGTGATAATTTAGGGAGACAGATTATATCAGGGGTTTCAGCCTCTCTCATTCCACAAAAGAAACATCCATTTGTGCTGAGGCCTAGGGAATTTTACTACTGCAAGGCAGCAGCACAAAAATCAAAGGTTTAACACATGCTAACACATGACATTGAGTTGAAAATGTGGGTTTCGGTGCTAGACTGTGGTGTCTTCCAGGGCAGGCATGATTTCTGATCCTGTTGGGGCTTCTAGCCTCAGATTTGGGATTTGGCACAGAGAATGTTCTGTGATTGTCAGACTGAAGGGTTAGTGGGCCCTCAGCATCTGCACGTTCCACACATGGGATTCAATCAAGCATGCATCGAAACTATTCAGGGGAAAAAACTGCCCTTATACTGAACATGTAGACTTTACTTCTTGTCATTACTCCCTAAACAATATGGTATAACATCTATTTACATAGCATTTACATGTATTAGCCATAATAAGTCATCTAGAGATTATCTAAAGTATATGGGAGGATATGCATAGATTACATATGTGCAAGTACTACACCATTTTACATAAGGAACCTGATTTTGGCACCTGAATTGCAAAATATGTTCTGGAACTAATTCCTTACAGATACGCAGGGACAATTGTACTTGCCATTCCTCTTTTTCCTTCTTCCCTCTCTTCCTTCCTCCTTCCCTTCCTTTGATTCTTTCTTCTTTCCATCTCTCTTTTCCTCCTTTCAAGATTTATTTATTTGAAAGGCAGAGTCACACACACACACACACACACACACAGATACAATCTTCCATTCACTGGTTCATTCCCTAACTGGCCACAAGAGCCAGGACTGGGCCAGGCTGAAGACAGGAACCAGGAGTCAGGAACTCTATCTTGATTTCCTATATGGGTAGCAGGGGCCCAAGAACTTGAGCCTTCATCTGCTTCATTAACAGGAAGGTGGATCACAAGTGGGGCAGGCAGGACTTGAACCAGCTCTTCAATATCGGATGCCAACATCACAAATAGGTTTAACACACTGTGCCACAACCTCAGCCCCCTCTTTCTTCTTTGTTCTCACCACTGCCACACCCAGTTTATACAGGAATCAGAAGCACACAGTGTGGGAAGAGGGGTATGCTCTTCTGCTTCTGAAATCCAAGGAGTCCAGGACAGGCCCAAATCCGGTTTATTTTATCAATTGGCACTCATCTTAAAGCTTAGAGCCAATAAGGCTGAACCATTGATCTCCTTCCAGCCAACAGGAAGCACAGAGGACATCCTAAAGAGAGTTTTTTTTTTTTTTTTCCGGTAGTAGAGAGACCGATTCTTGTCCAGTGAAGTTTGGGTCACACAGTTTTGAGACAAAGATGGATTTATGCTTTATACAGCAGGCACTCACCATCAATCCCAGTGGAGTTCATTAGGAGAGAGAAATTGTCATAAACCAAGACCTTCTCACATGCTATCTGATCCCACTCCTACCAAGAGGAAGAGATCTACAAAGAAGAGGGTTTGAAGGCAGTGAGATTGTTGCCTCCTTTTGATAAATCAAAAACTCTTGCCTGCCCCTGTAGATTTCAGTGGGTTTCCTACCTTACCCCCAATCCTATTTCACTCTACTCCAGCTCCAGGACCTGCAGAGGGACATGGGGTTTTTGCTTTATCAAAAGGAGGGGTGAGTTAGAAAGGTTAAAGACTGCCTTAACAGTCTCCACATTGTTCCCAGCATAGGTGTCAGTGTCACTGACTGTAGAGAGGGAAGCACAG